AGGTGACAGAAGCTCAGAGAACTGGGATGGATGCTTTCCTATCAGCAAATAGTCAGGGTTGCTTCTGTCTTGCGGAAATTGGGAAGTCTTATCACTGCCGATTGTGGCAATGGTGGAAACTGCAGCGTGCTGGATACCCAAACCGTACTCACGCTGTTGCCATCTGATGCTTTGAGATCTGAAGTTACACAGATTGAGAATCCCTCATACATTTTCTTCCCTCTTACAGTTTAACATGAATACAAAAGCCAATGTTTCATTTCCCATATTCAGTGAAGTCACTCATCTTTCATAGCATAAGCGTGTCTAGCATTCTACCAGATGAAGAGAATAACGTTTCAGACCTACACGTTCACTTGGACTAGGATAAAGAGGCTGAAGGCACTAAAGAATTTGGCCATTTGATACCATATCAGTTGGCTGCTCTGATGCCTGGAAGGCTGTTAATAAACAGATAGGTTCCTAGTTTCTGGTAAGAGAACAAAACTGGACAAGTTCTGTTTCTGAGTGGTATGGCTAACAGCTTCAGGGCGTAAGCTAACTACTTCCCTCTCCTGTTTAGCACTTTCATTTATAGATTTATGACTCTGAGTAAGTAGGGAGGTATGAAGTTGGCTGTAATTGGTACTGTGCATAAATGTAAATGACCATGTCAAATATGGATGCTCAGCCGGCTGTTACTTTTTTTTTTTAATTTCCCTGGCTATTGCTCTTTTTAGATCACCGGGATTTGTTTTACGTGTAGAATATTTTGGCTCCTGGGAGATGAATTCTACCTCAGGGCCTCAAGCCTGTGGGAGGTTATGTTGTACCGCCTAGGCTGCATGTTACGGTGTTGTAACCCCTAGGCTGCATGTTAAGGTGTTGTAACCCCTAGGCTGCATGTTAAGGTGTTGATGCATGATTTCAGAAGTCCATAGTTCACTAAAGTTACTGCAGGTATGAAGGATTGTTTGTTTTCCTTCTGGTCTCTTAATTTGATATGAGTGAGTATTACAAGAGGTCACATGAGCAAAGCATCTCTAGCTGTTCTCCTGGTTGCCCAGTGTCTCCCAGTGAGTCACAAGTCAGCCACCATCTTCAGTGCTTACTGGGCAGGGTCCAGTCCCAACAGGATTTTTGCAAAAGGGGTATGAAAAGTATACTGACTTTGCTACAGGGGGCCGCTGACCTGCAAGTAGGTGAAGAAACTAGTTGGGTCAGAGGAAGGAGATGCTCAATAACTGGGAAAAGTACCTGAATGTGGGAAGCAGGAGATAGGGGTAGCACAGGAGCTATGGAGGAGAGAATTGGAAAGTTCAGAAGATGGAGCGACCGGGAAACCCAGAAAGGCAGGAAGTGGATAAGAAGTTCTGCATGTGCTAGATGCAAATCTAGATACCCACTTGGGGTATCTCAGTTTTGGAGTGCTTACCTTGAGTTTGGCTTTCCTGAGAAAATGCTACATATCCATAATTTTGTGGCAGCTGCGGTGCTGAGCACATCAAATCCAGCGAAAGGGAGCTAAAGGGAATCCAAAGGATGGCAGTGTTACCCAAAATGCTGACCCACCTTCAGGGGTGCATAAGACATCCAAGGAACTGTTTGGCTTGTTGAAGCTGCACTGCTGTGCCACAGATTGACAGGTGTCTGTCAGGGCCAGGCTCTAGGGGATGATGTCGCTCCAGCTTCTGGAGTAGGATGAGAGCCCAGAATCAGGTGTCCTGCTGTGCTACAGTCAGCAACAATTTTTCCCAGGGATCTATGAAGGGTTTTTTGTGTACTGTGGAATTAGTGACTGATATAGCCTAGGGGAGGATGTGGTCATCATAAACTCTTGAACCATAGCAACATGCCATATCTGAGCTTGGAGATGTGAACACAGCCACCACCTCAAAGAGAAGCTTAGTGACACCTTTAGGTGGCACTGGTCTTGTGGTGTTGGCTTCAGACCTATCAGCCAAATCACTCTGCAGGGAGTGTTATGGTACTCCTGTGTGGCTTTCTGGAGTGCTGCTTCGGGGTTTGCCTCTTGCCCCTCCCTGACATCTCTGGATCTCCCTTGCCGTTCCTCTCCAGTTTTGCAAATTGTGTGCCATCGCAAGATGCTGGCCCAGCAAGGTCCGCACGGAGGCTGAACGGTGGCAGCTGGCATCGCCTCTTAATATAGAAGTGAGGGGTGTGGCTGCACAAGGCGGCGTGGTGCGGATCAGTTGGGGAACAGGCTGTGTGCTAAAAAGAGTTTAGTTGCACGTTGCAAAGGCTTATGGGGTTGATACTGAGTCGGAGGTGCAGCGTAAGTACACAGAGGGAAATACAGTGACTTCTTAAGGGCTTTCAGGAGCAAGCACAGGCGGTATATAGCAGCCTGGGTGCCTGCTCAGAGACGGACTGTGGTAGGAGGTGAGCAGAGCGGGTAGACATGGCTGGATGGGACTGCAGCTCACATGGAGGCACCTCAGCTATCTGTAACGCTGCTGGCTCAGGTAACGTGAAGACCAGAGCTGTGGCAGGATGAAATGTCTGCATGGGCTGGAAAATCGTCCTGCAAATCGCTGTGGAGCTCCACGCTGTCTCTGCTATGCTGCTTGAAGCTTGCTCATTTAAACCCTGTACAGGATGAGCTCAATCACAGCAGTGATTGCAATGTGGACATGCCCTATATCCTCTTATAAACCTCAGGAGCTTTTCCATCCCTCCCAAAAGCTGTTTTTAAAGGATTTCTCAATAGTTAACCACGTGAATGAATAAATCATAATTATGATTCAAATAATCCTGTGAATGAATAATTCATTGTCATAATTGAAAAAGGAATGTCAGCAAGAAGCATTTTACTATTACAAAGGTAAACATTTATTCATTTTTTTAAAAGAAAAGGTATATTCTCCAGCAAAGTATTTTTCATCTGGCTGCCATACCCTAATTATGTATAATATGAAAGAAAAATATGCTTCCTTGTGCGACAGCCATCTTCATATAAATGAAAAAAAAATGCTTCCATTTGCAACAGCCATCTTCAATGCTAATGCGTGAGAAAGGAAAAAGGATTAAGCGACATTTAACTCATATTCACCTCCTTTCTGAGGACAGAGCCAAACAAGGCAGCCACAGCCAGCCGGTCAAAATGTCCAGAGCTTGAAGTAACTGAATATTGCCAGCTGGTTAGCGAGGAGCCGAGAGGAGGGGTAAAGAGGGGAATGTTTTCTTCTAGATCTGTGCTGCCAGGAGATAGTGTAGGCTAAGCATATGGCTCACAGCCAGCAAAGGCATCAGATACTAGGATGATAAAAGTCGTCTTCATAATATTTAGCACCAACAAAGGGCTTTCAAGGGAAAGACAGACTTTTGTCCTGGGAAGGATGGAAGCAGCCTCACCTGTTAGCCCCATTTTCAGAGGGAGAAAGTACACTGTCATGAGTTTCTCTACGCTTTCAGATGCCAAGCGTGACATGGATGGAGCAAGCCACAGGTTTCTAAAGGCAAAAGAGCTGGAAGTCTTGATTGCCTGAGAAATGCAGTTTTGGCTCCCAGGGAGACTAAGTGCTGACTGTGTGGTGGTAAACAAAAAAATGAGCAAGCTCACCCGTTTGTGACCTGGGAGGAGGGGGCAAACTCTATCCACCCCAAATGAGAGGAGAGAAACTGTATTTACCTGTGTCTTTCCCCAGTTGCACTGTTCACCGTGTGACAGGTTGTCTCCATCTGTGGATGGTCCGACGCCACTGTCGTGCTGGCATCACGGCAATGACATTTATAAACGGAGGTCCGCGAGCCACAGGCATGGAGTGACTGGCTCAAGGTCAACTACAGCCTGCGGCAGGGACCGGAACACCACCGAGGTCTCCCGGGTCCCACGGCTTAGCTCTGAGCACGGAGCGGAGCCGGCGGTGTTTGGCAGGCCCCGGTGGGGCGTTG